AGTTGAAAAGTTCTAATAATCAATAGCACAGTCATGGCTGCCATCTTGACATTTTAACACACACACACACACACACACACACGCACGCATGCACACACATCATGGATGCCTCTGAGTAAGTTTTGAATGGCAGTTCCACACCATGCCTTATCATTCACCATGGTGCTGGGGGCTGATGGAAACTGGAGTTCCAAAATGTCTGAAGGACACCAAATTGTATACCCTTCACAGTTAAGCTGTCTAGGAAACACAGGAACAAAAGAAAGGAAGGAAGGAAGGAACTTTCATGAAGTTGAATTTGAGTAATAAAACTAAAGAAAAATCAAACTGGGGTAGATCAGTAAACTCAGTCCCAAAATAAAGGATAATAATTTATTCCTTTGTTTTCCTCAAGACTCATTCTAACGCTCCTTCAAGATCTACTTCTTTGCACCTCCCCTCAACCTCATTTCCTCAAATTATTTCTCAATACTTTGATCTCTCTCTTGTGTTCACTGTTGTTCTTTTGCCAGTTTGAAAAACTGATTCACTTCCAGGCAGCATCTGGCACTGGGGAAGCTCAGAATACATTTTTCATGTTCTTATTTTTCTCCACAGAATAGCTGACGCAGTTCAAGTTGCAACCTGTATGAAACAAACACTGAAGAATTGTCCATGGAGTTTGTTCACATTTTTTTCCCACCACAAGTTGTATTCTGTCTTCAAGAAAAGGGGACTACTTCCCTGTCAAAAGCTTCCAAATAGCCTACATATCAAAAAAATCAAACAAAATAGATGAAAGGGACATTATCTCAAGTAAAATAAGAACCCAAGCCTCTTGTTGTCCTTGCCATAATCCAGTATCTTGGTAGCCTTAGAAGAGAACTTCCAATTTGCCTTTGTTCCTTGATAAGATCTTATTTATTTCTCCATAAAAATGTCCAGGAAGAACATCACATTAGGGTCCTTTTCTCTTTTCACAGAATCAGGCATTTGTGATAAGGCTAAACTGTTAAATGATTGTCTTTGTCTTAGAAGCTTGTTAAGTAGCCAGTTAGAGGCAATAAATCAGAAGGAGTCCGACAGCACCTTTTTCAACTAACACACTTTAATTATTTATCTATTTATTTGGAAAAGGTGCTGTCAGACTCCTGATTTTTTTTGTCACCTAGGCTAACACGACTTTCCTACTATAACATCTCATTGTAATGTAATTGAAGACTTAATCCCAAGTATCCATTAAACCCATCTGTGGTAAGTCCAATATCCACTGATCATTTGATTTATTAAAGGTGATCATAATACATGTAAATTACTGACAAAAAAGTCCAACACGGTGTCACATTTGACTGGGGAAAAAAACCCAACAGAATTCAGTTAAGAAAGAAGCTGGCAAAAAGAAAGCTGGAAGGAAATCAAGAGGATCACATTTCTCCAGAGAGCTTGGAGATTCTTCAAAACAACCCTGACAGAAGTTAACTCTATCCTCCCAGGACCAGGACAGTCCACAATGAAGTCCTCATGGTGAGTGAACAAGGTCAGAGAACCCTTTAGCAGCAAGAAGATTTTCTTTAAACAGTGAAAGACTTGGAAGACTCCAAGCAATCAACAGAACATACATTGTTGTTGTTATGCAAAGGAGTGGCAAAGCATATCAAGGTGAATAATAACGATTACTTACATATATTCTAAACAGGAAACCAAACGAGACCGTTAGGCCACTAGGCAACTGAAGCACTAAGGGGGTGCTTAAAGAGGACAGGGAAATTTCAGAGAAACAGAAATGATTATTTGCTTTTGCCTCCACTCCAGTGTATGTTGGGCTGGTGCCTGAGTTTGAACTGCCTCTTCAGGAGGAGAATGAGATGAACTCAAATAGAGGCAATGACATGATGTTATTAGCCTGTCAATTTGAATATATATATACTATATATATTTTGCATATAGTGCAAAGTGGCTGCAGGGCCTGAGAGCAGACCACAGCAATCTCCCAGAACAGGAACCAGTCGCCATCACAGTAGCAGACATCCAACAGCGGGTCAAGGACATGAAAAGCTGGACAGCACCTGGCCTGGACATGATCCACACCT